GAGCCTCTCCCTCTTTCCCCCTCCTAGGGGTCTGCAAAAAGGAAAGTAAAAGGTAAAAATCCCATTGAAATGCATTGCCGCCGAATTTCGGCGGCAAACCGGGAATACAGCAAGCTGATCTGGGGGGACTGGGGGCACCCTCTTTGGATGCCCCTGGAATCGGACCCCCTGGGCCAATCTTCTTGAAACTTTGGGGGTCTTTCGGGAAGAGGCATGAGCAGCCACTGTCCAAATTTGGAGCCTCTCCCCCCTCCCCCCTGCAAAGTTTCAAGAGGTTTTTTGCCATTGACTTCAATGGCCCCATTGGTTATAATGGACCCGAATTTTTCGGGTTTTCCGAAAATTTTCGGATATCTATGCTTTACCGAATTAGATATTCGGGTTTTTTCGGGTTTCCCGAAAAAATTCGGGTTCAATAAACCCGAATCCGAATTTTACTGAATTTTTTTTTTTTGCACATCCCTAGCAGGGAGATGAAGTGGGAATCAATGGAAATTTTGCAGAAGCAAAAGTGCTCCTTTCACAACGGAAGGAAATTTTCAATCCTTTGTTTTTAGGAGACGGAAAAGTTGTTGTCAGATCACAAAGGGTCTCTCATCAGTATGTTGTAATGAAAACTCTTATATACAGACATTTTTTTAAAAAAACAAAGGAAGTGTTGCTTGGAAAAGGTAACTTACACTGACAAAAACTGAAATCAGAAAGATTTTTCTAAATAAAAAATATCCTATACTGAGGCCACTGAGAAAAAAGAGCAGAATACTGCGTAATACAGATCTCCTGTGCTGATGATGGCACTTAAAATGGTCCTAAAATTAGCTTTAAGAATTTAAATATACTGAAAGTGCCACTAGCTCGCTCCTGATTTATCCTGTAAGCAACTCAGCAATGACAGTGTCACAACATTTTACTTACTTTGTGAGGACACGCTATCGTTCTTGGAGCATCATCTTCTTTTATTTTTCTTGGTTTCATTCTTACAAAAGAAAGAGAAATCAAACAACATTGATCAGTCAACTGAACCTACCTATTGTAGATTTATACCATCATACCTCTCTCATGACCCAGCTACACTATATGATGCATATAAGAGAAGAAGAGATTGGATTTATACCCCACCCTTCACTACCCAAAGGAGTCTCACAGGGCTTACAATCTCCTTCCCCTTCCCGCAACAGACCCTCTGTGAGGTAGGTGGGGCTGAGAGAGCTCTTTCGAGAACTGCTCATGAGAGAACAGCTCTGAAAGAACTTGTAACTGACTCAGGGTCACACCAGCAGCTGCGTGTAGAGTGGGGAATCAAACCTTGTTCTCCCAGATTAGATTCCGTGCTCCTAACTGCTGCACCAAACTGGTTCTCAAGCCATAACAAAGTCATATTATATTGTGCTTGTGGTAATGATGCCTCTGACGGGCTTAACTGCAATGATAACACAGCATGTTCAGCCGTTCACAACCTAAGCAATTTGCAGTCTAGCTTCTATAAGCAGAGAAGAAGCTATTATTTAGCTGGGAATATGAACTAGTCCACACTGGGAAGAGATCCTGGCTTGCAGGGAAACCTAGGGAGGTGAGAAGGCTAAAAGAAGGGACAGAAAATGAAAGAGATCGAGAAAGAGGAAACTGAAGGGTGGGAGATTCAAAGGAAATGATAGGGAAGACATGGATTTAATCAAGAAGGGGCTAATGAAAACAGAAGCTCTAAATAAATCAGGTCAGGAGGTGCAGTAAACGATGAGAGATAGGAGAAAGGTACAGCAGCTCTAAGGAGGCTGGTCAGGAGACAAGGCAATTACAGACAGGACTGTGTCTATTTCTCACTATCTGAGGAGCTATGAATGAGCACAATGAAATTATATTTTACCAGGATACTTTTCTACTACTCACCTTGCAAATTCAGCCAGCTGTTTGGGGTCTGAAAGATCAATGCCTGGGATTCCTCCGGGTGGGAGCTTCTTTCCGGTCATGTACTCCGAGTAGTCCGGCGGCGAGTTCTCTCCGATGATTTGCTCTTCGACCACAGTCTCGTGGTCAATGTCTTTTTTGTCATCTGAAATGAATAGAGCAACCTGAATTTGGATTTAAAATCCGCGAAGAACACCCCCCCATAGCGAAGCACTGCAATATTAGTTGCAGTTTTTGTGTTTCCAAAGCAATTTTGCTCGCATACACAAAAAGTTTGAACTAAATCTCTATGCAGAATACAAAATAAATTAAATCCATTAGCAGAATTTCACTGACATCCTTAGCAACATTATATGCCTACAAGATGCTTTTCAAGTTCAACAGTTCAGCCACTGACCAAGTGGGAAATTTTCTGGTGTTACAGCATCAACTTCCGTGAGTTGTTCACACAGCCAATTTTTAAAAATCATTGCTGCTAACAAAAACCAGTCATATTTAAATTATGCAATATTAATTTTGTTTTGCAACAGTATGGAATTTTAATATGCATTAAAAGTAATACTACATAAACTGCAGAGACACAACATGTTCCTGCCAATGAAGAAGATAATATATCTGGCTATGAGGGAGGGACACAGGGAAGACCAGGGGACATTTCCTGCAGGAGCGCACAGGAGTGGCGCTCCGGCAGTAAAGAGCCCAGGGGGCGGGCACATGCAACAAGCCCCACCCCCTGCTCCCAGCAGCCCTCAGTCAGAGCAAGAAGCAGAGTTGCAGAGCCCCCCCCCATGGTCCCCCGGTCCAAAACAGTCCAGTGGCACCTTTAAGACCAAGTTTTGTTCAGGTACAAGCTCTCCCTCCTCTGCGAGGACAGATCTGCACATCCCCTCCCCCAATAGCTAGCAATCCAAAATAGTCCAGTGGAGCCTGAGCGGTGGGTGTTGCCTTCTGACACACTTCCTGTAACATCAGGGGGTGTGGCATATGCAAATAAGTTATGCTAATGCTAATGAGCTCCTGCACCTCTTTTTCTATGAAATGACCCCTGGGGAAGACACATTATATAAGGCTTACAAAAGGCCTAGATCCAGTAACACCTCACTTCTTAACAATTTTGCATAAAAGTAATGGAGATAAATGGGGCTGCATAGTGCTGAAATGAATGCAGGAAAGCCACTAAAGGCTAACGAGTATTTTAATGAGCCCTATGAGACCACAAGGCTGTACCTGCTAAAACAAAGGGAAAATCCTCCCACAGAATGAACCCAGCCACTCTTCCCTCTAGCATTCTCAACTGTACTATCTAGAAAGAGAACAAACTGTCATAAATGTGTGCCGAGCACTCTTCACATTCCTCAAGCAGGCTGTTCCACCAGGCCCCAACAGCCACTGGATCCCTCGCCTGAGAAGCCCATTTGAGTTGTTTGTTGAGTAGAGACTCTGGGAAAGGAAGTTGCATCAGAGCAGAGAAGCTGTAGATGCACTAGTTAGTAGATATGAGGGAGTGGGGGTAAAAACAACTAATATCAAAGATCCTCTAGCTTCCCCCATTTTAAGATTTCACTTTTACTGAAAAGCACAGTACAGATACTAAAGTATCATATTTTGGAGTACTGAGAGTATGCAGGTTTACAGTTCTATCCTCATAACAGAATATACCTACTAGCAATATGGCTGAACAATTCCAAGGGCACACCTAGAAACAGGTTATATGATGGAATAGCAACTACAGAAACTCACACCTAAATAACCAATTGCAAGCATTGCCCCAATGGCAGGTACCAAACATATTAAGTTCAGTCTCAAAATAATAATGCTTTTTAAAATCCAGTGGTATCTTAAACAGCAGCAACATTTTAAGTATAAATTTTCAAGGGTTACAGCCCATAGCTATTTGATAAAGTGGGCTGTAACCTACAAAAGCTCATGTTTAAATAAATATTGTTATGTCTTTAAGATGCTACTAGATTTTTGTTTTATTTTGCCATGACAGACTAACATGGCAAACCCTTTGCAATCATGATGTATATCTCACTTTAAGGCAAAGTTCAATTACAGTATTTACTCAAATGCAAGTGTTTTTTCCACAAGTATAGCATAAATAGAGGGGGTCATCTTACGTTTATCTACAAGTTACAACAACAGTTATATCCAACAATAGGCTATTTTTGTGTGTATATAACATTTTTAAGGGGTCATCTTACATTTAGGGCTGTCTTCCTTTTGAGTTCCCAGCCCAAATGGAATTACCTTTCCTCAGGCCAGGATGATACTGCCCTGAATTAATCTAGTTCCCTGTTCTACTGCACAAATGATCACCACTAGAAAAAATTTGGGGGGGTGGGGGGATGGACAAAACAGTATGTAAATTAGAAGATTCAGTTTTAAAGTCAACTACGCAAACAGTCCGTATGAATTCTATTTCTAAGCCTGCTCAGACAGGTCTAACAAAATACGTGCAAAATATACATATTAAGTTTGTCCTTCAATTTATACATGACTTCATTTTCTGAAATATCTTATCTTGGGATTTTTTTACAATTATGCAGATGTCATGACAGTTTATGCAGTTAGGACTTGGAAAATCCCTATTAGGCAATCGCCAAGGTGCTCAGAAATGTTATACTGGTGATGCCTAGAACTTCTTTCATGTTTATTATGCACAAATGGCTACAAATATTAAATATATTTGTAACAGTCATGCTAGAGACCATATAAAAGGTCTTCAAGCTATCACTTTCTCCCTGCTTTATCTTCAAAACATTTCTTCCAAGAAAAGGGAATGGGGGAAAGTGCAATGGAGATGAGCTCCAATAACATCACATTTTCAGGAGTAGCAAATAAATGCATCCTTATATTAAATTATTAAGAAATTAGTGACAAAGGAAAAAACCAGATACACTGAGACTAGGTAAAGGTAAGAGTTTCCCTTGCTTGAAAGCCAGTCGAATTCGACTCATCTCCGTTTCCAAGCTGAAGAGCCTTCAGACATTTCCAAAGACATTTCTGTGGTCATGTGGCCGGCATGACTAAATGCCGAGGTGCACCGAACGCTGCTAACTTCCCACTGAAGCAGTATCTATTTATCTACTTGCAATTTCTTGTTTTCGAACTGCTAGGTTGGCAGGAGCTGGGGCCAGAGATGGGAGCTCACTCCATCATGTGGCACTAGGGTCTCGAACTTTACAGCGAGACTACAGTGCTTTAAAATATGTTTCTTTGTATATAAGATACAGCTACCCCCAAATAACAAGGAGATGCCATATGTGGACCATTGCTGATTATTATTTTCAGCAAACCGCAAACGTGTATCACTGATGCTTCAAAAGGCTCCCCTTGTGGATATCAAATGTACTGCAAACATTTTTAAGGATTCCTCCTTCTTGTGATCATTTATTCTCATCTCAATAATTACTATTTAAGACTTATATCTTAATGCCACCAGAGGGCTTGTATTTTAGTAAGGAGGAAAGATGAATCTAATAAAGGAGCACTGAGAAGATGCTCAACAAATGGTGTTACAGTGATTCACAAAAGCCTTGCAAAGGCATGCATGCATATTGAGGGAGTACTCAGACATGCTGGATTTGAGCTGATGAGTTAGCGGGGGAGTCTGCTCAAATAATGACTAACATGACAGACTTTGCAGAGCCATGAGAAAAGGAAGCAAAGGTGGTGGACTTGCATGGAATAAATAAAACAAGGCAACAGCAAGAGATTTGGGAATAAATATACAACTTGTTCACACAAATGGGAACTAAAGCCACAAGCACACAGGATTTCAGATTCCTGAACTTGGGCAAACCCACAGAGATGTGGCAATTCAGTAACTTTCAAACTGTGGAGCAGATCCTCTGGGATAAAGGACAGGATCCTGAAACAGAGACTGCCTTCTTCATTTTCCAATATCAATTAAATGTCTATGGACCCTTTGCTGAAGATGTGTGCACTTGCACTCTTGGTGACCCACCATTTAGGAGATAATCCAAGGCTTCACTTGGGAGCCACACATGACTCTTTGTTAACCCAAAGAGCCACATCACTTGTGGCTCTTCTGAGCAGCCTCCCCCAGCCCTATTTCAGCAAAGTGGGTAAGGCCACTGTCCGAAACAGCTGCCAACAGGGGGAAGCCAAGCAAGCTGTGAGCCTCCCTGAGCTGCAAGTCCTACACTAGGGAGGAAAGTAAAGAGACTGTGCTCATCAACACACACACCCCCCAATCCTCCTTCTGCAGCCTCTGCACCCAAGCGGCTGCAGGGATAGCAAACTAGCCACAGTGGGATGGTGGTGGTTTTACTCCCCTTTCTCCAAGCACTCTTTCACCTTCCCTGCTCCGTTCCATAGAGACAAGAGCCAGCTAAGGCTCAACTTCAGTGGGGAAAGATAGCTCCAACTGCACAGCGGTGCTATGGTTATTAGAAAAGTTATAGTGTGTGTGGGGGGGGGAGTTGTTTTTCTTTCTGTACTCTATAATCCACCTTGAGCCTTAGCAAGAAATAAGCTAAACAAAAACATATACAGAATAGTTATGTGGCTCTTTGGGTTAACAGTAATTGCAAATGTGGCTCTCTGCAAGCCATGGAGAGTTAGCACTGGATTAGAGCCAAACTACAGTGAGTTGCACTGTGCTCACAGAACAGAGCTTTCCTGTTTGCTCCTTCCAGTTGCAGACTATTGTGCATGCTCTTGGACAGCCCTCAAGAACAGCATGGGATGTGACATGGGATCTGCAGCAATGTTCCCTCTAAGCTGTGGAGTCTTGTGAGCAAAAATTCTACTTTGTGAGCGACTGGCATTAAAGTTGTGAGCGAGCAATTTGGCTACTGCATAAATTAGTTTGCTCTGGAGCCATCCTTCCTGAGCTAAGACAAAAAAAATGTGAGCCGGAGGCTAAAAAACTGTGAGCTAGCTCACACTAACTCAACTTAGAGGGAACACTGGTCTGCACTACAGTCTTAAGGGAGAATATATTAAAATTGGCCTTCAAAGGGTAGAAGAAATTTAGACACGACCCCTTGGGTATATCCCATCTAGAGTGAGAAAAGGTTGCAGGAGAAAACCGTCTCACTTCCCACTGCAGCCTGCTGTGCTCCCTGAAGTCAGATTACCAGACCCACAGGGGAGAGGCCTGGGACCAAGCAGTGGGAGAAATTCATGGAATTAACTGGTT